TCTGAACAAAAAAAAAAAAAATGGAAAAATGTCCTTGGGTGAGGATAAAAAAAAAAACAGTGTCTCACAGCAGCGGCCCATCTCAGATCGGAATCAAAACTGCCTTTAGTCTTTCAAACTGAGCCTATTTATACATTCGCCCTTGTTTTCCCTCCCTATCTGGTGTCCACAGTCAGCTGCCCACGGTCGCCGCACCTGACTCAGCCTGGTTGGGGTCAGGCTTTCTCATTCCAGCGTTACCGGGTTCTCATTTCTCAGCCACTATCCAACTCTGTTTATTGTTTTGTAACTAAACAAACAAGTATTAATTTAGTCTATATACCTGGCACTATGGGGGGGAGGGGAATCAAAAAATAGCTGGAAAAGGTACAGTCCCATTCCAAGCAGGCGGCAGAGCCCTGGAACACAGATCACAGGACAAAAAGTCACCTCGAGCCCCGGAAATCTCTCTTCCCCAGGAGCAGGAAGGTGTTAGCGTCTCATCCCAGCAGGAGCCACCTCCCAGAGGTAGCTCTAGAAATTGTGCCCTGGGGCTGGGTCTCATTACAGGTAAACATGTATTGACCCCCTCTCCACCCAAAGCCAGATTTGGACACACAATTTCTGAGAAATCTAGACAGAGGAACAATGTAGAAGTAAAGACAATTTCCCTCCCATTGCAGAGACAATGTCGGGAAGCCAAACCGGGGAGGGTTTCCACTCCGAAAGGGCGATGACTCTGCTACTCTTCCCTACAACATAAACACACGCACATGCACTCACACACACACACACACATGCACACATGCACTCACTCACACATACATACACACTCACAAACACACACACGCACATATGCACGTGCACGCACATACACATGCACGCACACTCACGGACACACATGTACACACATACATACTCACAAACACACGCATGAACACATGCACATGTGCATACATACACACATGCATGCATGCACTCACACACATGCACACACATACATACTCACAGGCACACATACATACACACATGCACACAGAGGCACACACATGCGTACACACACACACACACATACATACACATACACACACACACACATGCACACACCTTTCTGGTGAGGACTTCTAATCAGGGACATAGTTACATGCAAATGAAAAAGTTAAGCTCCAGAAGTGCAGTTGGAAGCGTGGTGACGTCACACTGAAGTGCATGAAGGACGCTTCCTAAAGAAGCAGGGAGAACTGAGACCGGCTCCAATGACGGTGACACCACAAGGCTGACACTGGACTCACTCAGGCTCCTGTTGGGGTTCAGGAAGGCCCCATGAATATCACCTCTTGTCCTTATTTGAACTTGGAATAAATTCTGAGAAAAACCCAAGAGCCTGATGCAGTGGAGACAAACACCAGTTTGCCCAATGACAAAGCTGTCTGGAGCCTAGGGCATAGGTCCAAAGGCTGAATGAGTGGGCTAGAACTCCCCTGAAATAAGCTGACTCCCCCAAACTGTGGGCCTCCTCGGCCGAGCTCAGCATCCAGTGGAAATCGCCTGGAAGGCCAGCTCTCTGCAGGCAACAGGCCCTGAAGAGTCCCCCTTCCAGACCCAGCAACCAGATCAGTCACCCTGGTTCCCATCGAGGGGACGGAGGAAGCAAAGGGGCTGGAGGCCTAGGGTACCTCTCCACGAATCTCTCTTTACATGGAAGCAGGAAGAAGGGGAAGTAAGTGTCCTCACCCGGCTTCCCTCAGAGGGCACTGCTGTCAACCCAGCCACAGTCCGCAGGCCGCAGGCCCCAGGCCCCAGGACCCAGGACCCAGGACAAAGGCACTGAGGCGAGAGGCTTCCTGAAGGCCGACCCGAGGCCTCCAAGGAGCCCAAGGGCGGCTGTGAGCTCCCGTCCTTGCTCTCACACTGCTCCCTTCCTGGGCCTCCGGGCCGTGCTGGGATGGATTGAGATCAACAAACCTGAACATGTTTTGGTTTGAGGTTTGGCAAATTCTGGAACTCCAAAGTATTCCACAAATGTTTTGTGTTCTGCAAAACCAAAAAACACTGGCCGAGTGCTTTCCCCCTAATTTTTAAGCCCATGTGTTTTGAAAGGAAATATAATCCGTCTGTTTGGGGTACATTTATATGCAACTTGTCAAACCATGCTCGTCTGTGTGAGTCATTTCATGTCGAAAAGGCATGGGGAAGATCACAGACTTATGAGGACGGTGTCCGCGGGGGAAGGCGACAGAGGCGGCACCGTTCGGAAGGAGGGGCTGGGCTCTGGTGCTGGCAGACCCCCAGAAGGGTCACAGGTGACCCTCTAGATCCCCACCCGTCCGTCTTTCCACCTGCAGAAGGGCACTGATCAATCTTGCCTCAGCGGGGCCTGCAGGCAGCTAGAGAGGACTACATTGTGATAATTAGGTAATTTTGAGCTTTTCCAAGAGAAAACACAAGGGCCATGTACTTGCCCCAACAAGTTTATGTCAGTCTAGCTTTCCAGAGCTCCAGAGGACGAAATGACTTCTACCTGTAATGACCATCTCTGCCCCATCGCGAGGCAGGTGACATCAGTGTAGACAGGTGTGTCACAGCCTCACCTGCTAGCTAAGCTCAGCCTGACTTCCTTTCCTCGATGAGGGACCCCTTGTTTACAGGAGAGTCGAAAGGAGATGACAAAGTCCTGGGAAGTGTACAGAGAAAGGTAGAGTATGTAAAGCTTGTTTCATCTGGAAAATAGGAGGTTCTGGGTACTCGAATAATGTCTTTAAATAGATGCAGGGTTTTTAGGGAAAGAGTTCTATGCTCCGTATCTGTAGAACACAAAACGAGTCCTGTTTAAACTGATGGCATGACAGAGCAGAAGGGACCCAGGCTTCGAATTCAGGTAGACTGCATTGTAGTCCCTGCTCCAGCTTTACTGTGTGAAGACAGGGAAGCTGCTTAATCTCTCTGAGCCTCAGTTTCCACGTATGTTTTGAAGATTAGAAGGAACGTCAGTAAAAGGTCTGGAACACAGTAAGTGTTCAATCACAGATAACTTCTCTGATTACTAACATGACTTAAAATGGCTCGCAGGTTTTAATGGGATGCACTGAGGCGTTTCCAGGCTATCTGAAAATAAATAAATAAATAAATAAAGCACCGAAACGGGCTGATGAGGACCCACAGCTGTCCTTTCCTGGAGTCCTTATGAAGGAGCAGTTGACCGGGCAGGACAGATGGTCACTGAGCAGCCAGATGTTCCCCAGCCTCACGGGCAGACACGGCCAGGGCCGAGGGTGTGTCGAGGTCCCTTCCAGCCCACCTAGGACACAGGAGGACCTCAGGACTTGAACGAAGATGTCTGAGGCCTTACTCTGGAGTCTGTGAAAACGAGGCCCCAGCCCCACGGCGCAGCTCGAACGCGGGGCAGTGCCACCTCCCCCTTCGGACCTTCGGTACCAGGGCGAGCCTCTGAGAAACAGGGACTCCTGGGAGAGTCCAGCAAAGGAGAGAAGAAAAGCTTAGGAGTGCCAAGAAGAAAGGGAACACACTAAATGCCCCTGGTGAGACAGAAGTAAAGAAAAAAAAATACTTGAATAACCAAAGACGGTGAGGCTGGCAGAGACAGTTGTGTGTGGAGTAGACCTTTCTGAGGATCCGAAGGACGCTAAGAACCCCCCCCCTGGGGAAACGCACCCCTGCTCCTCCACACACAATTTCACTTACAGGATCTGGGAACTCCCAAGTCCCCTGCAGTCCTCCCCTGGACTCCCAGTTAAAGATCGTAAATGCCCTGGAGGCTTCTCCAGGAAAGGCCAGCTTCTATTTTGAGCTCCTGTCACTAAGCTGGTCGCCCGTGAGCCCAGAGCACCAGCCCAGAAAAGGAGGCTCTGAGAAGCAGCTCGCAGGCACCTTCTGTGACCTGGAAGAGAAACTCATCGCCGCCGAAGGGGTGGTCCTTCTGAAATGAAAGGAATAGACGTTCGGTCTTCATTGGCTACGTTTTGAAAACAAAGGCTTTTGTCTTATTTCAAACAAAGAATCATTGAACAGGAAAGCATTGGCCTGGAGTCCATATGCCTGAGGTCCCGTGCAGCTGTATCACCGACTAGGTCTTGACCGAAAACATGACTCCGTTTTGTCCTCCGCAAACTGGAAGTTTACGTGGATTCTAATTTACTCAATAGACAGGACCTTTAAATGTTCTGAGGTAAATAAAAGTCCATATAAATCTAAAGGTATTTTACATATACGATAAGGTTTTCATAAAGAAATACGTTCATCAATCATTTTGTAAAGGAAATAATCGGCATGACGGATTTTTAGCATAAGTCTGGATTCTAATATAATGTGCTTCGTAGTTGGCGAAGTGGTTAAATATAAAACATCCATCTGAAAACTTGCAGAGAAAAGGGCAAAGGTAACTCCCGATAGTCTGTGTCATTCCAATGCAAAGAAATGCCCCCGATTTGGAAAATGTCCGAACACTGAAGTACACAGTTACTGCAAAGCCTACACACTATAAGACACACATGCCACACTTGCTGTTTCAGTGTGGTTTATACAGAGATATTTTCTGACTGAATAACCTTAGATCAATCTAGTTTCCTGAGCCATTGCAGTCCCCTCAAACTCTCTGTGGATAACAGATTTTCATTTTAAATAGAAAACATTGAGAGAGAAGAAAGAAGAATTAACTAGAAAAACACCATCGTCTCTAGGACCATTTACGACAGGAACAAATAGTTCTATAAACGTCAACATTTGTTTTGAGTGACTGAATTACCAAGTATGATGTAGAAGGGAAAACAGCATAAGGGATTTGATCTGGTAATTTAATTTAGAGTATGTTAACCAAGAATCTAGATAATTCAGCCTTCTGGGGGCATCTTTCACCCCGTGGGTGGACTGTCTATTTCTCTGCACAGTAGGAAGCATGCAGGTGTTTTCCAAGACGCAGGAGCCAAAAGCCACCAGTGGAGTGTGGTGGGAATAATGTTACATAGAAAATAAATGGCAATGAATCTCTTTCCCTTTATTCTTACCTGTTTCTTCCAGAATCTCTGAATCCTTTAGCGAAAGGATTTCGGTCAATTTTTAATCTGGTGATCTGGAAACAAATCAAAAAGCATGAATTGTATTTTCATTAATGGACTTCCTTTTGGGTTGCTCCTAGAAAAATAACAAAAGTCACTTTGTTAATAACAGCTAGTGTTTTTATTTAATTTCCTTTTAGTTGGAGATTGAAATGAAATTGATATAGGACTAGGGCCTGGCACACAGATGTCTGTCTGACCCTCCTGACCCACTTCTCCCTAAAAAACAAGGTTTTCCCAGTATGGCTCCATAAACTCTTTTCTAGTCACCTCTGTTGCCCCAAATGGTGATAAACAAAAGTATTGAAATGGAAAACTGGATCCATGGTACATGACACACAGGAGGCCCCTGAAAAGTGCTTATTGAATGAGTGAGTAAATGAATAAAAGAGCAAGTGCATGAAGGAGGAATGAATGGATTCAGCCAATCCAATCAGGTGGAATCACCCAGACAACCTGCCTCATCTGAAGGATGCAAACAGTTGGCTGCACTGCCCACTTTAATTAAGCTGTACCTTTCCAGCTACTAGGGATTGTTCCTTTAATGCCCTGAAATGGTCTCATAAAAGACACAAGGAGTAGCTATTCTTTTGTCTAGGCGCACCTAAAGGAAAATCTAAAAAAGTGTGACTGGATGGGGCAGAATGCAGCTTATCTCATCCAGTCTCCAAAGCTCACAGAGAATCAGAAGAAATAGAGAGGCAGCTTCACAAAGCTGAGCAAACCTAGCGAAACAAACATGTGACCCAGCTTGAATGAGTCCATAGGAGCCATCTGGTCAACCGCCACTCAGTGCTCAAGTCCCTCTCTATAGCATCCTATCCTAGTTCCCTCAGTCTCTGCAGTGGTTATATGTACTGTCCTCATGCCTCTAGACTAGAACAAGCCTGACCAACAAATTCCACAGGCTCTCTAGTGTTTCCGATTTCAACCTTGGTCACGGGATGCATTTTGATACCTTCATGACTGAACCAGATGTTACTGACTCACTACATTAAGCAGTAGAAACTTAGGGTGGGGGCTAGGGAGCTCAGGAAAAGAGGGAAGGCACTCTCAGTGAAAAGTAATTCTACAAAAAAGAAAATCTTATTATTTGAGATCATCTTTTTCCTGATAATTGCGGAACTTATCACTTGGGTGGTTCAAGTTCTTCCCAGTGTTGCAAATCTTCCAAAGAACCTTTTCCAAGGCAGAGTGAAATGTCTCAAAACCACAGTCTTTAAAGGTCCTTAAAATGCAATGTGAGATTCTGATGAAAAACTTGAAAGCACGAAAGTTATTTTTTCCCCTCAACATTCCTTGCCTCTAGAATGGCATACTAATAACAGAGCACTAATAATGCGGCCAAAGCAACCTTCCATTGATTTTATAGACCAGAGCAGGAGCCCGAAGCCTCAGCTCTCCGCAGGCCACTGCCTGCCATGTGAACACTGAGTTGAGTTTAAAGACTGTCACTGTGCTCTGTTCTTGACTTCAAATCAGCTCTTTCTTCCTCTGTAATCCACAACAATAAACCACACACCATATTTTCTTTTCAAGTCGGGGTTATAATATTTTATTTTCTCTTTCAAGTTGGCTTATCCTGTCCGACTCATTTATGATAGGGGTTTCTGAAATATGATGGTGCTGCCGTGTTTCAGGGGCCTCCACAGACCCCTGTAAATATAACGACACTCTGTTTCATGGGCCTGGGAGAAATGGTTGAAAACCTGTTTCCCACAATTCACTGGATCTCAGGCCAAGGGGCCTGTACGGAGATTTAATAGACAAATGCCACCAAATGTTAGGAAAAACAACACCTCTATACTTGTTTCAAAGCTTTTAATGTGAGATTCAGAGAACTTTATGAAGAGTGTAGCTGTGCTACTCATTATCAATTTACGACCAAGTGCCTTTTGTGTGCAAAGCAATGTGACAGGCAGCACAGGTGGCAGAATGGTGGACAGTCAGCACGTGGCTGTACACTGTCTTTCCCCCAATCCAAGAAGCTTATAATCAGAAGAAAAAGAAGACATATACACTAATAATTACAGTACAGAACAGAAAGTGCCTGGGTTTGCCATGAAACCAGAGTGCCATGAGAGCTTAGAGAAGGCAGAGATTATCCCAAGTTGAAGTGCTCTGAGGTCTTACCTTGAAGGTAGCATGTGAGCAGTTAAGCTTCAAACCTACTCCATAATTACATTTATCAATTAGACCCTAATATGGCCGTGTGTCTCTATCTCCCCACCTTAGACCCAGTCACCATCATCCATTGACTAAACTACTCTAAATAACCTTCAAAGTGATCCTTCTTCTACTCTTTTCCCTGTCCAGTCTCTTCTTTACACAGCAAACAAACCTTTGTTAGCACGTGAGTGCATCATGTCATTCTCTCCAGAGGCTACCACTGTACTCAGAATCCAATCCAAGCTCTATGTCTGGCCTTGCAGGGCCAGCCTGCCCTGGCGCCTGCCTACCTCTCCACCCCCACTCACACTCCTCTGCCCCTGGTCAAGGGCTCTGGCCCCACTCAGCTGCTCTCCGAGCTGGAATGGGCCAAGCTCTTTCCCTGCCAGGCCCCTCACATTCACTCGACCTCCAGACAAAAATATTCTTTCCTGTACTCTTCGCATAGTTAACTCCTCCTCCTCCTAAGTCTCTCTCTAAATGGTATCTCCTGAGAGAGGTCTTCCTGATCACCCCCTCCAAAATAGAATAATTCTGCTACTCTCTTTAACTGAACCCTCTTTAATTCCATCTTTGCTCTTAATCCAATTGGCAATTATACATTTATTTTTTTGTTCACATATTTATTATTTGTCCCCTGGTCCCCTATTTTTACATACCACTTTATTAAGTGGAATCTAATATGAAATGCTATTCATGCTCAATGAATATTGTGGAAGGAAGGAAGGAAGGAAGGAAGGAAGGAAGGAAGGAAGGAAGGAAGGAAGGAGGGAGGGAGGGAGGGAGGGAGGGAGGGAGGGAGGGAGGGAGGGAGGGAGGATGTGGGAAAGAGGGATCAGCAGTCCCAGAGCCGTAACAAGCCTTAGAGACTCTAAACCAAACAATTCCCTCAATCCTATTTGCTTTCACTGCAGGCATTACAGACAAAAGTCTTAAATGTTCTTTCAGTAAGAACAAGGTCTATTAGTAGCTTCCTGTGCAGCCAAAGCTATTCTACAGGAGTCATGTTCAAACGCCGTCCAATGATAATGAGGAGACATGGAAAATACAGAGGTTATGGAAGCATTTTTGTTCACTGATTTTATTTCCATAACCTTACACTGATTTGTGTAGTCTGAGTTATTGAAGACTGGGGCACACGCGGGAGTGGTTGCTGGCCTGCCACTATTAATTTTAATCATTTTCACCGGCTTCTTTTTGCCTAGTAACATAGAAGCAGTTAATAAATGAGATATACCTCACAATGCACAGTGCAGACACAAATAACACAACCTACAAAGAAAATTGAATCTTGAGTATGATTATAAAAAAGGGCCTGCCCTTATTAACACTCTCTTAGTTATGTTTTTGTTGTTGTTGTTGTTTTTATCATATTGCTCGAAGTATGTTCCATTGGGTTTAAAACAAAAAAACAAAACCCTTAGCCTGTAAGAAAAAAAAAAATGTGTATACTGATTTGATTGGAAAGTTAGGATAAAACTGGCTCACTGGTTTAAGACATAATGAGTGACTCAGAAACCCTATTGGATTTGCTTACACAGACCTGGCTGCGGCTGCAGACTTCCTAGCTGGTCCCTGTAGCCAATTCTCATCAAGAAGTGGGACTGTGTTACCTGAGCAGAATGGGGCTGTATCTTTTCGAAATCTAGTTTCCTGTTTGGGAAAAAAAAAAAGCCTCAAGGTTCAGCAGGCTTTTTTTTCTCTCCTTAGAGAAGACGAAGATTCTGTAATGGAAATTTCCTGCTAATTCCATGAGGACATGTTGGCGTCAGCCTCTTCCAAGAAAAAGCATCAAGTGTGGAGTCACCTTTATTCCAGCCTCTACCACCTTATTCTCCACGATGAGATTCTGGGCATGATGTACCTTCCTCTCTGCCACAGGCTGGCCAAGTTGGCACTCTGAGAGCCCCTCGCAGTAATAATAACTTCAGTATGCTAGCAGCCCCGGGAGTCTATGGGTCAGTCCGTGAGGGTGAGAGGGGAAATGGGAACAGGGGAAAGAAAGGCATCAGGTATTTCGTGAAATAGAAATTCTTCTCACTTCATTACTATTTATATCCTGAAAAAAAGCAGAATCACAGATATATAAAGAAACTGGTAGTAGAAGTGTGTGGACTAATTGTTCATTCAGCCATTTTCCAAGGATATTTTCAGACTCTGAGCTATGGGGCAGGCACAAATGTCTTCAAATATTGGAGATGGTGGTGTCCTTCATCTTGATGAATGGTTTCTGGGCTTCAGAATTTCCTAAGCCGATTCTAATCCCCCATTCCAATACTTGAGAGATCAACATTGATATTCCAATGTTTTATTCTACCAAGTGAAGGGAGCTAATGTCTACTATCTCGTGCCATCATTCGTTCATAAAATAAATGACATTCTAGCATCAAAAAAATAAAAGGACAAAATAAAAAAATGTAGTCTATTAAAATGAATGTTTACGTCTCTCTCTTTCTCCCCTCCTTCCTCCCTTTCTTTCCTCCCTCTCTCTCACATCCTCTCCCTCACTGTGACCCTCACGACTAAGATAAAAATACAAAATAAAAAATAAATTTAAAAAATGAATGTTTACATGTATAAAAAGACCCTATACTGTCTGTTTTTCAGTGGCCCGTGAAAACCTTCTCCACTGACTGGTGACTGAGAAGCACTGCTTCAGACCAAAGCACCATTTGCAAATGAGAACACCCAGGCGGAGTGACTGATCCAAGGCAGTGCCGTCTTGTCAGCTGCAGAGCTGGGTCTAGAACTCAAAGTCTCTTAACTATGGACCTGGTGTTTTCTACCATGTTGCACTGTTTTATTGTAGAATGTGAAATCTTTGTTTTCAAAAAGCCTAAACTATTGAGAGGAAGACTGAACAAACACACATGGGTCAGCAAGCGATCGGGTCATGAGAGAGGTACACTCACTAAAACTTCCACAAAGGGAAGCTCATTTGCAGCTGAAAACGGAAGGAAGGTGGTAGTGGAGAGTATTTGCACCAAACTTAAAGATTCAAAGGAATCTAGACAAATAAAGATGGGGGGGGGGTACATTTCAGCAAAGACAAGAGCATAGGCAAAAGCAAGGAAGCTATGAAGTACAAACAGTAAAATTTGAACTAGATTGCTGAGCTCCTCTGGATGCCTAATGAGGATTAATGAAAAATAAGCCTAGAAATGTAGTTGGTAACTAGCCCCAGAGGACCTAAACTGAAAGACTTGGGATCCTGGACTTTGCTCCCAAGGCACTGAGGAGTCGTTGACAGCTTCTGACACAGAAATGATGCAGTCAGAGCTGTGCTTTTGGAAGATCGATCTGACAATGAATACATTTGATGGCTGGTGGGACACTAAGCTTGCAGTCCAGGTGACTCTGCTGGAAGCTATCACAATAGCCCAAGGTGGCGGTCGGGGAACAGAGCAGATCCAGAACAAGGGCAGAAGCAATGAGGTGAGAAACAAGAAAGTCCTGCATCAGTAGAAGCAACAGAGTGGATGTGGGAGAGTCAGGTGTCCAGCCTGGGTGACGAAATGGAACTCAACAGGAAACACTATTAACAATGGAGAACACTGGGAGGAGAAACAAATGAATAGTGTAGTTTAGAGTATTTTGTTTACCAGCAACAAAATAGTGTATTCCCACCTCTGTAGTGTGGACTTGCTAATACTGCACTGGTCTAGAATATTGTAGGGGCTTAAACAAGTTTACAGGCATGAACACTCATAATTTTCAATATTTGAAAAGCAGGGGTCGCCCTGGCAGGTTTGGCTCAGCGGTTAGAGCATCGGCCTGCAGTCCAGAAAGACCCGGGTTTGGTTCCTGCTAAGGGCATGTACTTCGGTTGCAGTTTGTCCCTGGCCCTGGTTGGTCATGCGGTGGCAGCCACTCGATGTGTCCCTTCACGTCGATGTTTCTCTCTCTTTGTCTCTTCCTCTCTCTCCCTCCTACTCTATCTGTACAAAAAATGGAAAAATGTCCTCGGGTGAGGATAAAAAAAAAAGCAGGGGTCAACTGCCTCTGTTTGATCATGAGAAATTGCTCCCAACCCTCATTAAAAAGCATGCATGAAAAGAAAAGGGAGAAATGATCAATTCAGAGCTAACAGAGATCTTAGAAAGCACAGGCCAACCGCTCCTTGTCTTGAAGAACGTGAAGCCCAGAAAGACAAAATGACTCGCTCACAGTGACGTTAGCAGCTAACAGAAACATTAGGACGAAAGCCCAGGTCTCCAAGTGTTAGCCTGCTGCTCTCTGTGGACAAGACACTGCCTTTCCTTCGGAAACTGAGTAACATGTCATTTCAACTCCTCTCCCTCTTGTCCCTTCTTCACTGTGTTACTGCAAAACAAGCTCCTGAGAACAATGAACCTACCACTGACTTTTTCTCTTACTCTCACAGGGCTCCTAACCATTCCCTTAAAAAGAAATATAAGAAGTAAACAATTTTGCCATAAAATATTAATTGTTCTTGTTCTGGAAGGTTGAGGGCAATAAAAACACAGTAATAGGTGCATATAGCTCACAAAAGAGAACAGTTTATGCTACCCGGCATCTTCAAGACAAGTCTGAAAATGATTGTGAGCTCACAGCTCTGACTTACAGGATGCAGACCTCAAGGTTCCTCGGGGAAAGAGCTGAGGTTAGTTTGCTTTATTACAAGTCGCTGCGTTATATTAAATCATATCTATGCAGCCAAAGGGAATGTTAAACAATCATGCTTGTTGATTTATCCAGGGATGGGAGGCTTGTTAAACAGGCAAAAGCTGTTATCTTGACTTCAAAACGGGTAGAATTGAGTATGACTCATCTACTTTGAATGTCGGCACATCATGAATTCACCAACATGACATGAGAACACGGAGATCAAAGTAGTTACCTATTGATTACAATATCTTGAAGAGCCAAGGTACCTCCTCCAATTCCCAACGATCCTCTCTCTCCTTAATGAGAAATTTATTCTTCATTTTTTAAATCCTCCCCTGAGAATATGGGTATTTTTTATTGATTTTAGAGACAGAGGAAGGAAGAAGGAGAGAGAGAGAGAGAGAAAAACATCCGTGCGAGAGAGAAGCATCAATCAGTTGCCTCCCATATGTGCCCTGACCGGGGATTGAACCCACAACCTGGGCATGTGTCTTGACTGGGAATCAAACCCATGACCTTCAGTGCACAGGACAACGCTCCAACTAACTGAGCCACAGCGGCCAGGGCTGAGCAATTTATTCTTTAAAATAGGCTCTGCTCCCCACTCTCCTTCATGTCTCTGTGGACCCAGTCATTTAGCAATGTCTGACTACCATTAACTAGATGCCGGGTTTGTGCTAGTGACTGCATGCATGTCCCCTTTTCCAGTCCTTGTAGCTCTGTGATGCTAGGACATTTTCAGACTTGGAAACACAGACTGAAAGGGGTAGGAAAGTTGTTCAAGGTCATACAATTCATCAATAGAAAAGTCATAAATTGAACCAGGTACGCCTACTGCCAAGTCCCACGATCTTAGTCATGGTTTCCCACCCCTATCAAACCACCACAGCCCCTGCCCCAGTCCGGCTATAGACAAAGTATTTACACCACGAGGATGGACTCAGTGCCTGTGAGAAAAGGCGGAGGCCGAGAGGGCTGCCAGGGACCACGCTCAGCCTTCTTCCACTGCCTCAGCGAGCTGCAGCTTCGAGGTTCAGCCTGAGCTGTAGCAGAGACCCTCCTCCTGGCCTCTAGAACCGATCTCAGTGAGTTCATTCATCAATGGCCTAGTGTGTTCTAAAAACTAAATTCTGAAGTTGTGGTATAATGCCCAGCCGGTGTGGCTCAGTGGTTGAACATTGACCCATGCACCAGGAGGTCACCAGTTCGATTCCCAGTCAGGGCACATGCCCAGGTTGTGGGCCTGGTCCCCAGTGGGGGGCATGCAGGAGGCGACCAATCAATGTTCTCTCTTATTGATGTTTTCATCTCTCTCCCTCTCCCTTACTCTCTCTCTAAAATCAATTTTTAAAAAATTTTTAATAAATAAATAAAATTCTGATATTTGTTGCCACATCTCTGCCTTCAAGGAAACTAATGATTAAAATGGTGGCCGGGTTTTCTTGGGGAAAAGTCCAACCCGTTATTCAAAGAACTGCCATTCACACTTTCCTTCGTCAGAACCACAGTTAATCCCGAGGTCCCAGCTGCCCCGAAGGCCATGGCTATATTGCTGCTCTGCCTTGTATTAGAGGTTGAAAAAATCTTCATTACTAAAGTTTTCTGCAAGGCCTCCATGGCCTCTACAGTTTTACCATCTAAAATGTTCGAGGGGGGTTGATCATTTTAAATGGCGCCCAAAGCAAACTAAATCTCTTCCTCTACTTTAGAGCAAACGTGGCCGCCATAAGGGGAATCTGAAGTTGGGAATGTTTAATAGCTGCTGAGAAAGCCCAACAACCATATAGTACTTAACATTTACCAGACTAATAGGTTGTCGAACTTCAAATTCCTTTGAAGGTAAAGAACAACTGGGGATCCTTTTCCAGATGCATCATGAAAGACAGAAATACTCTTCCTACATGAACCCATTATGTAACTCATCTTCACACAGTAAGCACTCGATAAATATTTAGCAAATAAATGCTTGTCCTCTACTGCTTTCTTGGTCAGAGCACTAAGCATGGTATCAAATACAAAAGGGAGTGAGCATTATAGTGTAATTTCATTTTGCTCCAAGCTGGTCCAAAATAAAAGTATGCAGACTTTCAAGCAAAACAAGCAAAAACACTTTGTTTCAAGGAAAAGCATTCTTTGCAGGATCCTATTAATTAGATAATTGCCAAAAGATAAAATGCAATCTAATTTACAAAAATGATACTCCCATACAAGTTCTAGGGAATTGCATTAAGTGAGATCACTTGTAAATCCATCTAGTCACTCTCCTCAAAAAAATAACTAAATAAACAAGACCATGGTTTAGAATGTTCAGTAATTCCAGACTTGGTCTCTCTCTCCCCCTCTCCCATTCATATACCTCCTCCATTAGTCTGACTAATTCTCAACATCAGAAAAAGCATCAGCTCCTCCTATCCCTAATTCTCTCCACCAACCAAAAAGGCCTATCTACATTTCTATTCTTAAATTACTCCACTGTATTATCATTATGTATATATGTGTCTTTCACTCAACTAAATCTCTGCTTTGGGAGAAGTCTTAATCTGCTCTATTTCTCTACTAAGCTTAGAGTATTGTAAGTTCTCACTGACTATTTATGGAATGAATGGGCAAACTACTGACATTAAAAGATACAGATCTTAGTGTGTAGCTGGTGATCACACATAAGTAAATTTAGTCTGAAAGTATAAGTGAAGCTGAGGATCTTACACAGAATTTTAGAGGCCTGATGACTTCACTGTAGCCAGATGCAGAGATACACAAAAACCATCAGTAGGAGGGAAGAAATGAATCTAACCTCAGTACTTGCAAATGAGGAGGAACACTTGCCCGGATGTGGTAGAGATTACGAACATGGGTACACATACGGAGAAACATGAAGATGACTTAGAAGATTTGCTCCTCCTGGGCAAAGATCTTGTCTCTGAGCTAAATCTAGACCATGCCAGCTGCCACTAGGCATTACTGTCTTGTCATCACCAGTGTCTTGTGTGCCCCGCAAGCCTGCTGTCTCTCATTCCGTGCTCCTCAGGGCCATGTACAAGGACTACGCATTTCTTACCAAAAGCCTGAATAAGCGCCTTTAAAAGCAGATATAGCAGGAGACCTTCAAAGGCAGCCTCTTACCTGCTGGTTCTGATAGGCCGTGACTGTGGTGAACACGGTCTCCGGGAAGTTAAACGTTTTCACTCCATCCCCAACGGGGACAGGTTTGGTGGGTGAAAGGTCGCTGCTGAAATCCTTGCGAATCACATGAACTCGAGGCTGGTACTTGTGCATGGAGTGCAGAATGATCTGGAATGAGAAGGAGAAGCATTAAGCTAGGGCTGACTCTAAGATCGCTACATCTTTTCAAGCTCTCATGCAAATAAAATCACAGGATAGAAGTTTTATAGAAAGAATACAGATTGGGGGTGTGATGTACAGGAAACCGGAAATCAGGGGGTGGGATATACAGGAAACCGGAAATCAGTGTACTTGCCCATGGCAGGAAGGACTTGGTGACTGGAAAGCATTACATGGAACCATACAGCACAGTATCCTGATCACGGGTGATGGATGCAGTATGTTTGCTTTAACTGGGTAAATGCGGAATGACTGTTCTGGTACCAGTAGCCATCACTCTACTAAAAGGTCCCAGAACCTCAGCCACATGACAGTGGTTTCCTCCTGCTTCAAATTTGCAGCATGGGGTCATGCTGTCTTTAAAGTCTACAAGCTATTATTTGCACTTTGTTACTGAATTTATAGACATTCCCTTATGTCATGTGGGCGTGAGTACTGTGTGCTCTCCCTTCCTCAGAAAATTGTCATTTCCTGCAAGGTAGGAGGCCATGGCGTTCGCTTCTTCAGTCCTCCCATAACACCCAGTATGGATCATGACATTCAGTGAAAATTCAGTGCATGTTTTACTGTAAAAGGTAAATTAATAGCATCAGATTCTCCAGTTACACTGGAAAGCCTTAGGGCCTATTCCTCTCTTGACAATCAGCCAGAACTGTCACTTCATGGCTGCCCTGTGAGTTGTTCTAATAAATGTTGTGATTTCTTTCATGATTTTTTAATTTGTCCTGTGCTTCTGTCTCTGGATTCTCCCCCTGACGAGTACCTGGAGGACATGACTTCTGTCTGACAGACACAGATGGAGAGGAGACATTTGCTAAAAGGTATATTTGTAATTAATAAAATTTCACGGAAAGAAAAACTTTTGTGCCTACTTTCTTGAGAAGTGGCATGGAGATTCTTAGTTCACCTGTTTACAAAAGCCTGGGGCTAGTCAGCTCTAAAGCAGAAAGGGGAAGAGGGAGGGAGATGGGGTCCTTTGACTCACATGTCCTTGATCATCCAGTTCATTGTTGGTCAGCTTGAGTTTGTCGAAACTGACCACCTGTCTCATCCAAGTGTCTCCAGAAGCTAGAGAATCAGGGTGTATATAAACTCTTGGGGGCACAGGGGAATCAGCATTGCCAGCCACCATCCACTTGGAGCTATGATACACGTATCTGAGAGAGGCAGAGAGGAGAATTCAGAGAGGGAACATATATGGAGAGGGAACAGAGGCCCAGGAAAAAAGGAGAGACAAGAGAGAGGGGACAAAAAAAATGACAAGGAAGGAGAAGTAGTAGAGATTAAACAGAATACAAAGGAGAAAAAAGAGAAGGGTAGACAGAAAGGAAAATGAGATAGAGAAAGAAATGGAGAACGAGACAGGCGCGGGGTGGGGGGCGGGTAGAGAAGTGTAGTGGTTAATGATCAAAGCTGCAGTTCTCACAAGGAAAACATTTTCACAGTCCTTTTTGTTTCTTCTCCCTCTCCTTGCCTTGCACCCCTGTGTGCACACAGGCCTCCTGAACCCACGTGGCCAGCTATGGAAAAGGTATTTTACTGCAACCTTTCACCTTACAAATGCAAACCATATAATCCGTTGGCCACTTGTTCAGGATTTGGTTCCTTATTAAAAACATCTTCCATATTGTCCTATAAAACACAGCCATATGCAGAGACCCTCCAAGCAGCTCTTCTGTTAACCATTTCCTTGCTACGGATCTTAATTTTGAGGCATTTCTATGAAAGTGGAGGGCCTTTGCCTTAGTGCAACCATCCCCAGAAACAACACCCAGTCTTCCCAGTTCTTGTTTTCTTTGTTTTGAATGTCACCATCTCCCACATCGTTTCCACAAAACCACTGGAAATGAGATGCTGTTGGTAGCAAAGGAGGTCAGTTTTCTAGACTTTGCCAGATGCCCTGTCATTCTGAAGAGTACTCTCCATGGATCTGACACTTTCTGCTTCTCAGTAAAGGAACATGGGGGCCCTGGACCCTTGCAAACAGGGGCACTCAGTCCAAATCTCATCTTCGAAGACCCTCTAAAACAGATTAGAAGCCTCTCCCCTCTTAAGTCATGTAATCAAGACCACGTCTCTCTTGGCCAGCTCTATCGCCCTACCACACTAGTCCTGGTCTTTGCCATTCATCTCTCTCCTCCAAATTCATGAGTTTAGGGCCAAGTTCTCAGACATTTCAAAATAAGCCATGATTCTCTGGTTGGATTGAGATCTCAAGAGATCAATTAAGCCACAAGTTGTTTAAGAAAAGAATTACATGTAAGCCATCCAAGAGACATTGAGACTATTTTGGCTTTTCATGACTTTAAAAGAAAAGCATTTAACAAACTCACTCACAACCCACATTAATGAATAATAAATCTCCCTAATTAAATGTTCTTCTTGAGTTCTCACCCAATTCTCCTGTTCCTCTCCTCTACCATCCTCAGGGTAATCCATCAAATATATGATTAAATGTACTGCACTGGTCCATTTCTCCTTCCCCTCTTTCAAAATCAATCACTTTAACTCAGTTAGCATTTCATAAACCAAGTCATTCAATATGTTAATTATTTTCAATGTTAACTGAATTAATTTTAGACCTAAGACCCATTTGATTTTTGCTATCCTGGCAGACACTGTACAATCCCACTCTCTCCAGAGATATAGTGGGGATTCCAGACCCATTATTGAGTCCTTATTTCCTGCCTCTAACAACTTGTTTCTGCCTGGTGCTCTGCCACAGGCCATTGGCATATCCTCCATCCTTATTCCCTGCACAGAGCATTATACCGTGCACTGTTAAAATGCTTCATTGAATGAGTTTAAAGAATAGTTCTGGAATGTTAATGACACCCATGATTCCACATGCCAGAGTCATTCATTACCTGTATCTTTTATTGTCCACAGGCACAATGTCCATTGCTATGTAGTACTGCTGGTGTGGATCCAGACCAGTGATTTTCACTCGCATGGCAGGAAACATCCTCCTGTGAAGAGGAATAAAGTAGGAAGCTGAGCACCAGAGGGGGAGAAGTGGCAGAAGGAAAAGCTTGGAAAGTTTCTTCTCATTAGGTACTTGAAGTCCACCAAAGTCCCATGTCCTCTAATTCCCAAAGTGGGCTTACTTTGGAAATGATCACTGTAAAATATTCTGAGGACTTATATTGCTCAAATAGCATCGCTTAACTTACATTGACCCATTGAATGATTCATACACTCAAAGAGCTCATACAATACCCTGCTTTATTACTGTGATTAGATAGATAGATAGATAGATAGATAGATAGATAGATAGATAGATAGACGATAGATAGATAATGTATGTGTATACACACATACATTTCCTATTAGACTATCACATTCTTGAATATACTTATACTCTTATGCTTAACATACTTGAATAACTTACAGGCATCTTATTGCCCAAGCAGCTTATCATACTTGATTGTTGCTGATCATAAAATAATTCTGATTGACTGAGTCTATTTGAAAATGACCACTCTAAAAATAATGTCGCAAGAAAAAAAAAGAAGGTAGGTGCTACCAGTTCCCAAACAAAGGGCCACCAAAGTTTTTTTGTGTTTTTTTTAATGCATAAAACTGTAGAAAAAATTCTGCAAGTTCTCAGGCTGTCAACATGTGTGTCAGAGGAAAGACCCTGTGGAATAGGGAGCAAATACCAAATGAATTCTAGTGGCCTCTGGGCAATACCTTGTTTCTACCACAATGGCTTGTTAAACTTGCCAAAGCAAGGGAGGTCAGGATATGGCACTTTACAACTACTCTCGTAATTGAAGAGGGAGCAGCCCAAAGAGGTATTGTGTTTCAAGGAGTCTAGAATAAAATTCACCATTCTTCTTTAACCATAAGAAGAAAAACATCAAGCTCTTTTGTGTGTCATTCATTTAGGAGCCAGACATAAAACGTGCTCGGTTCAAAAATTTGGATTGCCCTGAATGTTCTACAGGGTACTTGAACACAAAATGCTACATTAAGTTTAACCATCTGGGGCCATTTAGTTGAGCTGGGCAGAGCACAGTGCTAATGAGGTCAAGGTCACAGGCTTGATCCACATACGTCCTAATTGGCTTTGCTTCATTTCACGGCCATAGACCGTACCCTGGCCCCAGACAGCCATCTTGCAAATGTGCACTGGTTGTTTATATGAGGCTTTCTGTGCTAGTCACACATTCCACCAAAGGCAACTCAGAAAGCAAATGTCCTCCGTAGGAGGTCAGTGACATCATAATCATATTTGAGGAAAGCACAAAAGGGACCCCAGTCCTTGTAACAGGGATGATGGCTAATTCTTAAATACTTTCAAAGAATAATATGTAATTTTTCCTTCTTTCCCACTTCATAATTTTCAGAAGCTTCTATTGATATATTTAGATTTTCTCCCTCTACCCTCACAAGTTTAATTAGAACACCCTGTATTTTAGTCTTCTAGTGGGCTAATGACATTTGATGGTGGGCTACTCATAATGATTAAATCTAACATTTAGGCATAGGTTGGGCACTTTGACCCACACTAATTTTTTCCAAAAACTTGAGAACCTTGGTCTATGGATTTAAATTAGTAATTTAGTAATTTAGATTAGTAATTCTCTTCTTGATAACAATGATTTACAAGTGCCCTGTATGTATAAACAGTTAGAGGGTATCTTGCCAGAGATGGAAAGAAAGTCCTCTCCCTGGCTCTCTAAGATAAGAAACTGTTGTTCCTTTCAGCCATCTGTAGAGATTTGTTACACTGAAAGAAATGAATTTATTTTTTTGGTGACTTCAAGAAAAGGGGTTAGATGTTTTTAAATTAATTACCTGTTTTGTCTGGAATATTTATATGACCTAAAGTAGAATAGATACCTGTTTCTTTCCAGTACCCAAGTTCTACAATGAATGAGTTGTGTGATTTTAGATAAGTCATTTAACCCCATAACCTATAACACAAATGAAAGGGACTAGATACTCTCCAAAGTGCCCCCTTGCTTCAAAATTCTATGATGTTTGAATTCTCTTTAAATTGTATCAAAAGTTGCTTTTTTCTTTTTTGTCAGTATTTTAGCAAAGAATATCAGGTGAAGTCATAATACCCTAGAGAAAAAAAAACAATCATACTTATAAAATGAGATGTGTTTGGTTTTATGACTAAATTTAGGCCAATTCTTTTGTCTTCCAAACTCATTAATCCCTACGAGCACCTCTGTCCATGGTGCTGATTACACAGATTGTGTTGCTACATTCGAAGATTGGGAGCTTTGTAACAGCAATGGTTCTGAATCAACAGGCTTACAGTTCAGGGTGTGACTAAACTTTCCTGAGCAGGAAAAGAACAGAGAAGCATACATAGCTAACACTAAGAAAATAAAAATTGGGATTAAAATTGGAAAGGACGCTACATAGGAAGAAATGAAGTGAAAAGGAAGAAACCAACTGGGGGAAATGGAAAGGAGGTGAACAAGGTTTACAGAAGAGAAAGTCTTCTTTGTATGTTTCTGGGTTGTTTCCGAATTATTCGAGCAGGCATACAATTCAATACAGAAGCAACAAATGTAGTTTCTAGACCTCAATAAAGGGATATACTAAAGAACAAACTGTATATCTGTGCTAGGAATATCTGGATAGATTCAGGTATCAAAGTAAATCTGTGAGGACAGAGATATGAAAAAGAAAACCCTGCAGAAGAAATCACAAAATAGGGGCACAGGAGTGTTTTCAATGAGGTTCTCAGGTGAACTGAATTCACTGAAGTGCAGGGAACAAGGACAAAAATGGCTGGAAGACACAGACCCAATAGTAGTAAATGAAAACCCAAAATAAAAAGTGGAAAATCTTACAGACAAAAAAAATAAATAAATTTCCCTCTCTCCAAACCAAACCTCTTCCCCAAAACTAAGAAAAAGAATAAACACTTTTCCCCTGAATTGCTCTATTTCCTTCCCAGCCATAACCTTTAAAAATGTAGAAAAGGGGTAGACTAAAACCTATACAACAAAAAGGAGATGGTATTGAAAGTAATTCTCCTTTAAATTGCTCCTCCTAAGAAGCCTTTTAATAGTTTTATTCACTGCTAAAACTTAGAGAAAGAAGAGAAAACTTCATTCTAAATGAGAAAGAAAATAAACAATATTTAAGGTTCATTTTAACTTCATGTTTTTGTGGTGTCTTATTATACTGGGAGGTTTGTCTATATTCATTCAAGTGAACTGAACCCAATCAAAATATTCTTTTACTTTAAATGTTCATGTTCATGAAGACAGCTTTGATCAATGAAGTGGGTCTTTTTGGTCTCCATTGCGTGAAACTACGTAGATTGGCTTGGAAAATATGAAAGCAGCATTATTGTTTTAATTTCAATGAACTATCCCTATATACCCAAGAGGTGGAACCCCAATTTATCTTTATTTAAATCATTTTCATTTTGAATCTAAGGGACAAACATTACAACCATTTTTTAACAGTGCAGAGTTATAAATAGTTGAGACCATTGTTTTAGAGCCAAACGAAGTTGTGTAGAATTCTGGAGCTAACCTTTGTTGTCCAAGTGGCCTTAGTCAAGTTAATTAGCCTCTTTGGCCTTCACATCCTCATTCGTATATGAAATTATCATATCATACCTCATAGGATTTTTGTGAATTTTAAATAATGTATCATATGTTGAGTATGCAGCACAAATAGATAGCTAACAAAATACTACCAAGAAAATTGAAAGATACCAATGAAGGAGTAGCTTGATGAAAAGTTTATTTCAAGAGAAAGTGTTTGAAATGTTTATTATACTACATAAAAAGTTTTGCAAGAATTTCCACCAGGTTGCCATTAAAGTTTCATAACAATTTCAAGCCCACAATAAAACACAATGGACCAACAGTAGGGCTCAAAAGATAAATGAAGCCCAATTCTTACCAAAACCAAAATTCTTACAAACACGTCTGGCTGCTTTAAAAGCCTTTGAGGATGCTAGCTGTTGCTTGGGGAGCAACCTTGATCTGTTGAAAGAAATCGATGGTAAAGTAACGCTTGCTCTGAAAATTGGTTTGTCTGTTATGTACCATGGATCTCCACTAATAACTGAAATGCATTTGAAGGCAGAAAACGTTTGTGATTTAAGTTTCAGTGGCCCTTGGAGGAAAATGGCAATATCACAGAAAACACAAGATCACTTCGCCAGGACGTCTAGATGCACAAATGGGAGTGCGTGTGTCTTTGGCTTCACCAGCGCCACCTACCACAAATAAGGGACAAGCAGAAATGTAGCAGCTCCTACTTCGTCCTCTGTTCTTTGAATGTGGCCACTCCGTGGAACTTGTCCTTACCTGCCTGCTTTGGTGATGATCATCTCAGTTCCAATGTCATGGAACCTCTTCCAGAGGTCAGCGCACTGCAGCTCCACCTGAATCTCCTCCATGGAAGACATGGCAGCAGGCACAGGGCCCGCAGCACCAGGGCCCAGGTCGGTGTGAGTGTCGAAGGAGCAGGAAGTCCGCTCAGTGAGCACCTCCGAGTCTGAACCAGTGCTCTGCTCCGAATCTGCAAAACAAACCATCAAGTCTTGGGTGAGAAACTGCTGGCCACCCCCAACACCCCGACCCTGAAAGACGGGCGGCGGGGAGAAGGGCATGGGGGAGTGGCAGAGACTTGAACAAAAGGAGACGTAAACCTGGGAAGCTCCAGAGCACAGCACTCGGGGTATTTTATTATTTTTTTTTATGGTTTGTTTTTGTGATTTACGACCTTCTTTCAGGTTTCGTGTTTCCAACATGACATCTGGCATTTTAGTAAGTTTTAGCAACAGCTGAAGAAAACGGGTCCACAACAGGCAATATAAAGAGTACTAATGTCACCATGTTGAAGGGCTTGAAGCCAAACTGGGGCAACAAAGGAAATAAAGGCCACGTTTTAATCATAACAACAACAATGATGATGATAGTAATAATCATAACAGACTCTGGCCCCAAATCTAGATTGGACCCGTCCACTTGGGGGGGGCCACGCGAGCAAGGATGTGCTCTGGAATCGCACCCACTCCGCCGCACTGCCCCACCGGCTCCTGGCTTTACACACAGCAATTTCTCCCCACCTATATATCCCGGTCATCAAAAGTAATGAAACATTGTTTGGGATCTTTAGAAGCTTTTGTCCTATATTCGAGTGAATGGCCTTTCCTAAGAGTTCAATCAGGCCATTTTGGATGGAAAAGAAAAAAAAATTGGTTGTGAGGCAAGGAGGTAAGCATATGGAAAAAGTTACCCAAGAAGGCGGCTGAAACAAAGGGAATAAATGAGTTCAGGAGACACCTTGATTGGTTTCTGAAGTATGGGCAGAGGGGAGGGGTGATCCAAACAGGAAGGTAGGATTGAGAGCAACCAAATAAAAAGCGGGCATGCTGGGCCAGATGGTCCTTTCCCCCTGTGTCTTCTGACTCGGGGGGCGGGGGGGGGCACGCAGACCGACCGAGAGGGCTAGCATCAGATTTACCAGAGAATTTTCTGTAATTTTTTAACTGTTTTATTTTCAGGGGCCCAGTGCCAAGAACTGTATTTAAGAGTTTCTAAACTTGGATTAGCTAGTACAATTTTCTTAGGTCAAATAATACTTCCAGCCAAGCTGAAGAACCTCTCTCTAAGCCATCCTTAACATCTGATCACTTCCCCTGGAAACAGGCACATACATCAATAAAGGTTGGAGACAGTGGTGGCTTAGGCTGGCACTGGACTGTTCAATGCTGTCAAAGGCCATGACCTCAGTTCCTGACACCAGCAGGGTGGGGGCAGGATGGTACAGAATGCCAGACCACCTTGCAGCCATGCTCACTTACCTGCAGCAGGTTTCTGGGAACAAGCCAGCCCAAGAGACCTTTCATTTCCTCTCCTTCTAGCCCTGATGTGTTCCTCTCTCAAACCCTGGCAGCATTTCTGGCAAGAATCTCCCACAGCTTTGCCAAAGCCCACAGGGAACAAAGAGCCATCTTCTGCATCCTCACCCTTCACTGCCGAAGGCGTGCAGGGGACTGCAGACCTGAACCAAGCCCTAAACAACAGACGAGGCTCTGCCCACCATCCTCAGTGTATCCGCAAGCACCAGTCCAGTCACCATCTTCACCAAAAAGCGAGGTTTTAGAACTGAGTTTTACATGTCTAAGCATGTAACCGTACACCCTGGGCTTAACGGGAGCTACCAATTTTGGTCTCCTCCAAGCACAGAAAAGTGGAGCTACTTATCTAAGATTAGAGCTGCTGCAGGACAAACCGCCTGCCCGCCCGCCCGCTCCCACACGCCTTCGATAGCAGGGCACCATGTCGTCACGCTCAGCCACACGCAGTCACTCCGATCCCCGGAGAGGTGGGTTCCCAGGTCCCGTTCTGTTTCTGGGATATGCCAAGAGCACCTCACTGATCACAAACTTTGTGAATTTTTCAAAAACTTCTCAATAACAATTTTTGAAGTGATGCTATCCTATCTTCGTTGTGACACCTCCCTGCCCGAGCGTGCTAGAATTATGGGGGGAAAGCTGGAAATAGACATCCTATGTAGGGCCTGGCAGAAATTTGCGACATATGATTTCTCTCATGCGTGTTCCGGAAGGGAAGAGGAGGGAAGATATCTGCACTAAGTGATAAATATTTAATGGTAGCCAAACTGAGGTTGGGACTGGAACAGGGACTGGGCCTGGAGAGTTAGGTAATAAAAGACTCTACTCCTAACTCACTACGTCATCTGGAATAAAATGGGTACTCAGATGTAACACTACATGGATGAATGAATAACCTTGGACAACTTGCTTAAGCACAATGGACCTATTTCCTCATCATGCGATTAGAAGGGTTGAACGGAAAACTTTTCTAATCTCTTCTACTTCTGGTGACTTGAAGAATCAAGAATCTTCTGTAATGTAACTAACCCAGGCAACCCCAGTTAGAAGCATCAACTTTAGAACTGTTTGGGCCAGAGAAGTTAAATGGGGATAAAGACTGGGGGCCCATAGTCCCATCATAGGAGTTAAAAAAATGAAATGGTTATTCCGTTTATAGTTTCAATCAAATCCATCAATAAGCACCTATCAGCACGTGGCCTTATATGAGGTACCATGTAGATAATTTGAAACAGAATTCCAGACCTTGAGAAGTTTCCCAGTTAATGTTGATTAATTATGTGTTTATTGAGTGCTTACTATGTGCCCAGTACTGTGCTAGATTCTGGGAAATATCGAAGTAAACAATGGGGCTCCTCTTTAAGGTACTTACAGTACAAGTAGAAACTGGGCGCATTCACCAATAATCAGACGCAAGGACAAACACTGCCACACAGTTTCCCATACTGTTACATATAGTCTTGTGTGCCTTATAGGGATCCAGAAAAGGGAAGGATCCAAGAGGACTGGGACAGTCCTGGGGAACCCGTGGTTGCTGGAAAAGAAACGGACGAGTCTGGAGGCATAGGCTGCATTTGCCCAAAGGATTTCCAGAGACAGTTACTTGTTTCCCTGGAAATGTTCTGCGCTCCTAGAGTCTCGATTCCTCACGAAATAAAATCCAAGTGACTGTTTATATACAGAACACAGGCACCAGCGCACATTTGCAATGACATGAACATATCGTGTAATTTTCCATTCTCAACTGTTTCTTAGATGTCATCATTTGAAAATAAAATCAATGTCATAATACATATAAATATTTTTTTAATTCCTAGAATAGTTAGGGCTATTGTGACACAAGCTACCTACAATATCCTTAAAATAGTAATCTCAGAGTCAAGATCAACAGCTTAGTTGAAAATAAAGTTTACTTCTTTCTAAAATACATTTCTAAATCATGGTTACATAAAATATGTAGGCTAATCAGATCATCATTTCAGCTATTAATCAGAATGTATAATCAAGTTACCTAAGTCGTGAATGTAAGAAATGCATAGCAGGTTATTGCAATCAAAATCAGGCCATCCATTCAAAAATATAATCAAGTCCCTTGAAGATCAGAAAACACCTCTGTGTTCTCAAGTTCTTTTATTCTTGGCAATTTGTGACTTCCTGCCTTCAAAAAAATAACCATTAGAAACTCATTTGAATGACCTGGAAACACTCCTTGGCTATCAGATGTCTCTTGTGAATAGTATTTTAACTAGGGGAGCTTCAGTAAATCAGGAGCATAAACGAGAACATTACACACAACTAAGGAAGTTAACAGAGAAAACTAAGAGAACACCATGTGACTCGTAGGGTGCACCCAGCACACCTATTACAACAAAAAAATCCCTATAAAAGAGACTCTAACCATCACTGTCACTCATTTTCTATCTCTGACCTATCTCATGTGGATAAAACGGATACTCATTTGCCACAGAATGTGAAGATTGGCTTAGAGCAAGTTCAATTCTCAATTCATGCAAACTATTAGTAATTATAAAATAGTTTCTTAATCTATTTTACACATTATCTAATATACCCTTCTATATGAGGAGGCAGACATGGTATATATTTTTATGTCCATTTTGTGAATGAGAAAACTGAGACTAAGAAAAATTGAAAACAACATGGCCTGAAAGTTAGGTCTTCTGCCTCCTGAACCAATGATCAGGTCTCCCCAAGCTCACACTAGGTTCAACCCTGGCCAACGCCATCAGCAATTCTGTCACCCCTCTCAACTATTTTGACCATCCTTAGCACTGAAATGGCTTAAATGTTTGACCTTGGCCAAGTCACACAACCATCCTGGTCCCCATTCTCCTCAATCCTTACAGCCCAACACATGTACCTTTAATTAGGGGTGCCATGGAGCTTCTTTTAAGTCTAATGTTTCATGATGGATTAGTAGTGCAGAGGAGATAGACCCAACCCATATAATAATCAAACAATTGTGGTGTTTTGTTTGGGTTCTTTTTCCTGCCAATAACTGGGACACTAATATATTGGGTGGTACTTCCTACCTGGTATTGGTAGGGCAACCATGCCGTGGTCTACTTCTTAAGTCCCAAAGTCTCTAAAAACCAACACTGTCCCAGCCATCTCCAGACTCCCCTCACACCAGGGCAGACATCAGAAGCTTGTAGCCCAGGCAGGACTCTTTGTACCAGGCTCAAGTAAACTCCTCTTTCCAGAGGACCTCTGCAGTGGAATTGGTTCCGGGACGTCAGATTTTACCAGGGAGCTTAGAGAAATCTGGTGATGAAAGTTCTCATACAGTAATTCTAAATGTGGCAGAAGGAGAGCACTTGGCATTGACCTGAGTACGGACTGAGCCCAAATTTGATACCCAGTCCAGAGCTTCAGGGGAATGAACTATAACCCAGGTTGGATTAAAATAAAATTATGATGATAGCAAACATTCAAACAAGCCCATTAGATGATTAGAAATGGAATGAAGTCTCCGAGCTCTCCCGCCCTCCGAGTTCTATTTGGGAAAAGGGGCGGTAACCTGAAGCCTGCCCTTCTCATGCCAATAAGCCAATTAGGGAGAGTGAGGGCACATCTCTCTCCACCTGACAAGCAGCACCTCTCCCAGGGATACACAGAACCAGAGGTAAGGACCCAAAGT